AATGGGCCACCAATGTCAGAGTTTAATCTAGCAGATCTAGGGTAGGGGGTCCCGAGCTGGTGATCTTAGCTAGATGGTAATAGGAGAAGTAAGTGAGACAATGTTTACTCAGGTTTGGCCCCTCTTGAAGAGGTAAAACCATACGCCATGCTTTTGTTGTATTGATTATGTTGGAGTATAAAGTATATGATGATCTACCTCGAGATCGTATGTGAATGTCTAATTCTCTACCCTATGCTCTAAACCCCTTGACTTATATAGGGACTAGGGTACCTAGGGTTTACATGAGGTCGGTTACATCTAGGGATAAACATGCAGAATATTCAAATGTGTCTTGGAGTATGTGCCAGTCTTTGGAGGATTCCATCTTGAGTACATCTTGGGCGATCGCAGTCTTGGTACATTAGTTAACGATCTAGGGATCCTCCGCCCGGCCCACTTATGATGGGGCCAATGTGGTTAGCACCCTCTAGTCCAAGACACTGTCGCTCCCCGTCTCTGCGCACCTCCCACCACCACTCAACCGCCATAGGGCACTCCGCCTCGCTACCGAGGTCACTGCCATCGCAGGGTGTGGTGTGGCTGCGTCATCGGGATGGAGCAGTGATGTTGGGTAGAACCCTAGGTGGCGTAATCTTTCACGACTGAAGGGGGAATCAAGATGAACACACAAATCACAAGGGCAAACACTCACAGACAAGTCCAATCACACATCCACTAGATAAGCAAACACAAGATATCCACATGAGTACAAATCCAACTAGGGGAAATAGGAACAAGAGCAAAGTTCATTTCAAATCTCAAAAGGAGATGAGGGCTTGAGAATCCTTTGATGGGGATTTTTCTCCACAAGAGGAGGTCTTGATGATCCACTAGGGATTCTTCTTCAAAAAAGGTCTTGATCTCCAAAGGAGATGGGTAGATATGAGCAAAGCTCTCTCTAATTCTTCATATATGCTTTGCAAGTCCTAATTTGTCCAAGGGAAGGGGTATTTTTAGTCTAGGGTGGGGCGAGAGAGGGATACAAGGGCAAAAACCCAAATATGTGCACAGAGAGTCACCAGATGTCCAGGCATTTTTTCCGAGTGTATGCCAAGAGCGTACCTTAGCTTTATAGAAGGAGAAGCAAAATATTTACAATAGATTACAATTAGCGGTCACCCACACAAGGGTCCACTCTCCCACACTCCTAAGTGACTACGCGATTACTCGCAAAAATGTAACAATCCACTCCTACTTGCCAGCGCCCATAGACTATGCTCTTTGAAGATGATCTCAATTGTGCCTAACTCGTTCCTGACGTCGCTCCTACCGAACACTCTACCATTCCTCTGCTTCCATAAACACCAACATATGAGAATCACAAAGGAGTCAAAGTCCTTGCACATTGGTTTAGGGATTGCCTTCCGGGCTGTCATCCACCAACCTTGCACTGAGTCGTTGCCCGCCGACAGTAGTGTTTGGTTGACGCCGGTCTTGGCGAAGCAGATGTACCACACCTGCCTGGCGAACACGCACTACAAGAGAATGTGGTTCACCGTGTTCTCTTCCTGCTCACAGAGAAAGCAAGGCGATGTTGCGTCTTGCAGGCCGTGTCTGGCTCTCCTGTCGGACGTCCATAGTCTGTATTGCAATGCTAACCACATGAATATTTGGCAGGTCAGGGGTCCTTTGCACTTCCATATCGTTGTGGCCGGTTGGAATTTGATTCCTCCTTCACACATCATCCTGTAAGCCAAGGCGACCGAGTAGGTGCCCGTGGTGTTCCAAGCCCAGATTGGCTTATCATCCACTCCCTCAGTAAGTTGGATGCCAATCAATGCCTCCCATAGCCTGATGAATTGGGCCAACTCCTCAGTTTCTAGTTCTCCGATGACATCATTCATCCAGTCGTGAAGGTATAGACCATCCTTCACCGTGCGCCTGTTGAACTGCCGGGTTCTGACTTTGGCCACAAGGAGCGGTGCCATTTCCTGAACACGGGAGCCACCAATCCATCTGTCTTTCCAGAATAAAGTTTTTGAGCCGTCTCTTATGTGCCAAGTCACCAAGCTGCTGAATGTCGTCAAGACGCCCTTGTCCCGATCACCTGTAACCCCTGCCATGGCCGTGAATCATCTGTCCTCTATAGCCATTCCCATCACAGTCGGAGTGCGGTGCCATGCTTGTGCAGATCAATGACGCCCAACCCGCCTATGTGCTTAGGCCGGCACACCCTCTGCCTTGCGACTACACACTTACCTTCCTGAATCTCATCTGTGCCAGCCTAGAAGAAAGCATGACACCCTTTGTTGATTTTGTTCAGAGCCCATTTAGGAGCTTCCGCGACAATCATGTGATGCGTCGGTCTTACCCTCATGACCTGGTTGACAAGGATTAGCCTACCAGGCCTAGTCACCATCCCTCGCTGCCACCCTGGTAGGATTTTCAGCGCTGCATCTACCATGGGCTGCCAGTCCGATCTGGTGAGCTGCTTGATGCTAAGTTGCAAGCCAAGATATTTGCATGGGAATTGCTTGATTTGCCAGGGCAAGGTGTTCCTCAGGATCTGTTCACCCCTCTCCTCCTCTCGGATTAGAATCACCGAGGATTTCGCATAGTTCACACGTAGGCAGGAAGCTTCTCCAAAAATTTGCAACACTTCTTGGACAAAGAACAGATCCGTTGGGTTTGGCTTGGCGAATAGAACCACATCGTCTCCGTATAGAGATAGCCTATGAGTAGGCCCACATCCATTCAACTTACTGAGCATCTGTGCATCATGTGCTTTGATGAAGATTGCAGTGAGCACGTCCATTGCAATGACAAACGGCAGGGGCAAGATCGAATCTCCCTGCCTAAGCCCGCAAGCGTGCATGAACTTCTCCCATGCTGCACCATTGATGACCACTCAAGAGTTGTCAGTATATAGGAGAGTTGCTATCCAGGACCGCCATCGATCAGAGAAACCTTTGGCATGTAGCATCTCAAATAGGAATGGCCAAGATAGCGAGTCGAATGCCCTAGAGATATCCAGCTTGAGCAACATCCCTTTTGTCTTTCTCTTATGTAGCTTCCGAGCCATCTGACGAACTAGCATGAAATTATTGTGTATGCTCCGTCCCTTGATGAATGCCGACTGGTTCACGTTGACAAGCTCCAGCATGCAGCGGCAGAGTCTCAATGCCAATAGTTTGGACGCGAGCTTTGGAATGCTATGGACCAGACAAATACGTCGGAAATCCTTCACGGTGCATGCATCAGGGCATTTTGGTAGCAGGGTGATGAGGGCCTAGTTCAACCTTCCGAACCCCCTCCCATTATCTTGGAAAAGCTTGTGCAGTGCCGCCATGACATCTCCTTTCACGATCTCCCAAGCCTTCTGGAAGAACATCCTGATGAAGCCATCTGGCCCCGGTGCCTGACCCGAGGGCATTTCTTTGATGACCGACCATACTTCCTCCTCGCTGAAGATCAAATCTTGTTCCGACAGGTATAGTCTGTTAATGTTCAGGGATTTCAGGTCTGACGTGTGCTGGCGGGCCGAATCCTTCCCCAGAAGCACCTAAAGGCCGTGAAGAAGGCCTCCTCCTTGCCTTTCTGGTCTGTGACCACTTGACCATCCACCTGGATCGCAAGAATGAATTTTTTGGCCTTCTTCCCATTCGCAATCAGGTGGAATAGTTTGGTATTGGCGTCTCATATAAGTATGCCGCTTAATCACATTAATTTGCTTACCTTTTGCAGCACTAAATCAACTCCAACTTAATGAACTTACGTTTTGCACCAATTTCATATATCACGTGATTAATTTACATTACGCATCAATTCCATGATTTATGTATCATGCATGGCGCCCTACATTTATTATTATTTTATAAGTAAGTTTAGATTATTTTCTGTACACATTTGATTGTAAATCGGCTCACGTGCAGGCTAGGATTAGTTGATCATGCATATGCATGAATCACTTAGATTGCGTGGGTTTTGAAAAGTTTGAATTTTCCTGAAAACACGATTCGTACATTTCTTTCTCTCCCTGACTTAGTTGAAAAAGACAAGTTGTAGACACCGACGATGTGACGACAACTGCAATGGGCTCATGAGTGTATTTTTCATATAATATTCTTGTGTTAAAAATTATTTGGCCCCGTAGCAATTTCCTAGTTTCTTTACAAATCGGACCACCTCTCGAGTAGGGCATTTTGGAGATCGAGCTCCATGATGGCCTTAATTTTGAAAATTTCAAAATTCAAACTTTCAGTTTCAATTTTTTTGATAAAATTACACATGCACATAAGGATGTAATGTGTATGTGAGTAAGATTTCAGGATGAAATAACTTGAATTGCGAGCTACAGAGAAAAACAAAAATCATGGACTATGAGGATAAACAGTTCATCTATACCTCTATACCAATATAAAAAGACCCAAAGGGGTAGATCCAATTAATCTCGGCCATCAAATCATGTCAATCCAACGACTTAGACTGCTTCAATGTCGAGCGTTCAACACATTTAGCATGCAGTTAATTTCATGTCAAATATAATGCTAATCACATAATAATACGTAAATAATATCCTATCTAATATCCGCATGCACTTAATATACTTCCAAATTAACGTGCATTGCACGTACACATTGACTAATATGCTAAAAGCTCTAGATTTGCTTTTTTTAGCTTTCATTCTGACCTAAAAATTTACATACATCTACATTATGCCTCTAGATATATGTATACCTTTTTCAGAATTTTGTGAAACCAAAAAATTTGAATTTTATTTTCAAAATTAGGACTTCCACGGAGCTCGGTCTCCATTCGGCATTTTCGGTCACGAGCTTCAAAAAATGAAACGGAAGGGGGAAAGGAGAAAAAGAAAAGGAAACAGGCATGGGGAACTGAATTAGGACAAGCACAAGAAAAATCCTTCAAAAAAAAAGGACAAGCACAAGAAACGGAGAGTAAGAAGCAGAGAGGGGTTGGATCCAAGAAGAGGGTGGGGAGGCTACATGGAGGCGGCGATGGATCTGATGCGGCGGATGCCGCCGGGGAGCACCGAGACGGCGCTCAACGCGCTGCTCTCCCTCCTCCCCGACCACTCCCTCGACCTCCTCTCCCAGGTCGACCTCCGGCTCCAGGTAGGCAACCGCCGTTTCTTGCTCCGCGTTTACACCACTTCTAGCTCACTGATTCGGATAGGTGTTAAACTGCGTCGAAAACATTCCCCTGTAATTGCTCAGCGGGCATGCTGTCATCGATTCCTTTCATGTGTTGAATTTAGACAAGAAATCCACCTCCTTTAGGTTTATGGCACGCCCCTCTTTTGCGTCATTGGATGAAGTCGAGTAAAATGACTATTGCATTCTACAGTACGTTTAGGTGCTTGAATCGAACTTGCACCACTGGATATGTTACTCGAGTGGCTCTAACCAACCTCGCTAAAGGTTGTTTTAGGCGATGTTTTCTTTTTCAATGTTCTAACATAGAAGCAATTGATTTCATTCCATTTAGTGTTTCTCATTCTTTTCCCCCTTCTTTTCTTCTGAACGTTGTAAACATTGCAGGTTTGCATGGATAAGGAGAACAATAAGGAATACATTCTTTGCGAGTATAACCGCGACACCGATTCCTATCGGTCAGCAAACCCTTGATACCTCCCTGATTTCCATTTTACTTATGCTCTCTATAATCATATGCATTGCGGGAAGAAATCATCCTATGAACTAGGTGACACACCACATATTGCTGCGGGAATTTCTAGACTATATAACGTTAAAGGCTGGTAAGATGATAGCATTAGCCTTTGAAGAAGATAGTAGACACAACATACAACGTATCTAAAAGTTAGTCATCAGGTAACATAATCTAAAATTTGTAAAACTGTTTGGTCTCCACAACCACACTGTTGTAGGTGAAAGCGGCTGCCCACATCACATTTCTCCAATGCACAATCATTTTCTGGATGGACAGGAAAAGAACTCATGAATCATCAAACAAATAAATAATTAGAATGGTAAAAAAAAATCCTGTAAGATGGCATATTGCAAGGGGAGACATTCTAGCCAAACACAACAACTGCATATAGCACTTCATTGAGATGACAAGCTATGATGGTATTCAACCCTGACCGCATGCTCATAAATCATACCACGACATGATACATCGCCCTATCAGATCAATTAACTGCTTTCTGCAAAGAGACCAAATTGAGCAATGCAAGCTTTTTAAGGAAGTGAGGAAGACGTTGTATCAAACACAACACATGCATACTCTACTAGCGTCATAGGGTGGTTTATTGCATTGAAATGCTATATAAAAGTATTCACTACTTTCTTTTTGCCGGTGTATTCACTACTTTCATATTAACAGTATCACAAATAACATAATCTTTTGTCAGATAAATGAATCAATTTATGCATAGGCCCCACACTGTATCATTGGTACTTTTGTATTATTAAATCTTCTGCAACATTGAGAAAGCAGGACAAGAAGTGAACAACAGAACAGAAACAGAAAAAGCAGATGAGAAAAAGGGAAGAAGAATATCATATCTCGTAGAGTACACACTGTACGTTATTTGCAGAGTCTTTCACCCTTGGCCCATCTGTAGGTTGCAGTAATGTGTCGCCACTAAAAGTAAAGCAAACTGAGCTTCTGTGAGATACAAACATAGAAGGGAAGGAAACAAACATTGGGAACATGGAAAAAATATAAAGGAAGAGAAGTTCATGAAATAGAGGCTGGCCTTTATGATGCTGTTCATATGGCTGTGTGGCTGCAGTGGAAGAACATGGTGAACGAGTCTCTCTCGTACTGGAGCCATAGAAAAAAAGAATGTGGAGGAGACAGAGCAGTTGCTGCTGTAGAAACAGATGAAGGGGGACCCATGGCGAAGATTGATTAGGAGATTTTAAGCGAATGGGAGAATTCAAAGCACAAACACACACGATTGCTCATGCATGTGGTTTGGAGCATTAGTTAGCGAGAAAAGCAACGAGTATGGGTTGATTTTTGGCTACAGATGGGTTCTAATCATTTGGGTTGAGACAAAAGAGGAAGGAGAAGCTGAGATGGCAGCGGAAACGTGACTAGAATGGAATGGTTGGGAGATACTGAAGAAGGCTGCACTATACCGCTAGATCCAATGGCCATAAATGAAGCTATGCTGCGTTGATAACAAAATGAAGAGCTGATATTTTTGGTGATTTGGCTGCATAAGAGAGCAAGAAAATAATGTTAGTGCAGATGAATTGTGTAAGAATACATGATAAATGAATCAAAACGAGAAAGGAAAAAGTGAAAGGATGCCTTGGAGGGACCTAGGATTAGGTGGTTGGTATTTCACACCGTACATCGCTATAATTGTCTTCTTTTGTTGCACTGCCTGATATAATCTTACTTACATTGATACTCCCTCCTGTCCTTTTTACTCCGCGTATTAGTTTTCTATCAAGCAAAACTTTGCAAAGTTTGACCAAATTTATATTAAGAAATATCAACATCTACAATACCAAATATATATATTGCGAAACTTACATTTTATAATGAATCTAAAAATATTGATTTGGCATTGTGAATGTTGATACTTTTTTGTATAAGTTTGGTCAAAGTAGAGATACTTTGACTTAGGGCAAAACTTATATGCAGACTAAAAAAGACCGGAGGGAGTATATCGCTACAGTATATTTGCTACAGTTATCTTCTTTTATTGCACTGCCTGATATAATCTTGCTTACATTGATATATCGCTACAGTATATTCCAATGAAACTTTGTTCAGTTCCACTTTCCATGACTGTAAATTATCAAGCGTTAGCCTTGCCAAACAAACCAAATGATCCAATAAGTAAATGCATCGAGAAAATTAGTGCAAAAAGTTGAATTAGTGGATGTGATTCCCGTTCTTAATTCAAATTTGTTTCTCATTTGTTGATATTGAGTTGCCTTTCAGATCACCTTGGTCAAACATATATGAGCCTCCTTTAGAAGATGGGACAGTTCCCTCAGAAGAGATGAGGAATCTTGAAGTCGAGGCAAATGAGGTTTTCTCTGTCTATCGTGATCAGTAAGATTCATATTTTATTTACTTGACCTTTTTATGCAGTAATGTACTAAGCACATGCAGCATGACGGAATGTTATCACTTGTAGTAGAAGATTACACTATCCGGCATACAGGTGTTAATATATATAGTAGGTGAAGGCTAAAGCATGTAATTCGACCTTCTGTTGGCAATTAGGTACTATGAAGGTGGGATCTCATCTGTGTACATTTGGGAGGATGAAGACGAGAGTTTCATTGCATGCTTCTTAATAAAGAAAGGTCTGTTTGAATGCTTGATCTCATCTTATTAGCTAACCACATAGTCTATTTTATTATCATTTATTTCATTTTGTGGTTCCAGATGGACAAGGGAAAAGAAGTTATATGCAAATAGGTTCGTGGGATGCTATTCATGTTATCCAGGTGGCTCAAGATACACTGTCCATGAAGTTGTCAATTATTTTGCTGTTGTCTTATGTTACCTCATGATTTGACAAATGAATGTCCATGTACTGCAATAGGTTGGTCCTGAAGAGGAAGGAGCAGCACATTACTGCTTGAACAGCACTGTTATGCTGTCATTGACAACAGATAACAAGCAATCGGGAACTTTCAACTTGTCCGGATCAATTAGGCGGCAGGTTATCCATTCCTCCCTCTTCATATCAACGGAAGGTGCTATGTGAGATATATGCATGTCTTGCATCGCCGCTTTCCACAACTGTTGATGTGTGTATTAACAGAACAGATTCGATTCTGTCATCAACATAAACTGTACTTGTTGTAGATCAATTGTCTGTCAACATTACAATCTAGCAGTAAACCAGTATGCCTATCTGTAATTCTAGGTTCTAAATGGCGCCACTGGTTTTTGGTTTGGGGATATTGAGGCCTAACTGTGCTGGATGGATGGCCAAGGCTATCTGTTTTAGCTAGCTAGGCAGGAATTTGATTTTCGTTGATTAGAAACTGCTTGCTAAGCTGTCTGTGTGTTGGTGTTTTCAGATGAGCATGACTCTCGCTGTGGCAGATGGGCATCTGGTTAACATGGGGAAAATGATAGAAGAGATGGAGGGCAAGCTGAGAAATTCACTGGACCAGGTCTCAGCTTCGTCACTGTTAAAATATGTTGCCTAGTCAGTCATTTCTATCAGTTCGGACTTTTGAGAAACTTGGCTAGCGCATCAGTTCAATATAGTATCAGAGCCATAAGGTCTTGGGACCAAATCCTGGCCAACACACTATTTAATATAAAAATAGTTAGGGCAACTCCAACGCACGGCCCCAAATCGTCCGCTTCTGTCTGTTTGGGGGTAAACGGACAAACGAGACGTCCCAACGCAGGACCCCATCTCTATTTTTTGTCCCGTTCGTGTCCGTTCTGCTCCATCTCCATACCAAACTTGGTCTGGGTTTGGGGCCGAGGCGGATAGAAAACAGACGTCTCACGTCCTCTTCGTCCGGAGTCTGGCCCACCTGTCACCCTCTCTCCTCTTTTCTCCCCCCTCATCAACCATGCCGTCGCCCACCCACCCACCCACCCAGGAAGCTGCGGGACGCCGAGGAAAAGCACAAGACGCCGGCGAGGAGCAGCAGCGCGGGACGGCGGTGAGGAGCTGCGGATGACGCGGGGTGCCGGCGAGGAGCTGCAGCGCGGGACACCCGCGAGGTGCCGCAGCAGTGCGGGATGCG